TATATATATATATATATATATATATATATATATATATATAATAAATTTTCAATAAATTTTACTGGTAGTAAATTTTGAAACGCAGTCCATATTAATCATGTAATTTAGACAATGTATCACAAACTGACTTACCAAACGAACTCTGGGATCGTATAGTTAACCACTTTTTCAATCTTTTTAATGCTTTATCTCGAATCTTTTTGTCATTATTAGACAGTAATCGCGCGAGTTTAATATCCTGCGAGTTTAATATCCCAACGATCAAAGATTTATATCTATCTTCAGTGTTGACAAATCGCTTCTCGATATCAACCTTTGTTTCCTCTTTCTCTGACGAAATACGAGTACAGCGCCTGTGTTTCTTCATTGTCTCTTCAATTTTTTCGCAATATATAAATTATATATGTTAATTAACTATACAAATTAGATGATACTTCATATATACGATAATTATAATTCCCGATGTCAGAAATTCTTTCTATACAAAAAAGCGAAATGATATAACTACGAAAAGGGGCAATACGCATGCCAACACGTGCACCAAGCACCACGTATACCACGTATGTATAGAAATGAAGCGCAACTCAGCCGTGAAGTTGATTGCTGGTGACACCAGTGGTAATATTCACAACAAAGAGGAGCAACGTATGTTGTAGATAATGTGCATGAGCTGTGGTTCTCTTCCGTGCTAGACGTAAGAATGATAAAGACGGACGCAACTGTCCGACTGTGAATAAAGTCTCTCTGATATTGATGATTCAGCACACGCATCAATATAAGCGAGCGTAAGTTAGCCAACAATTAATAATCCCTTAGATAATTTTCTTTTCTGAAATTGTAGTTTGGAGATTTTTGAAATATATTTAAAAAGATTTGAGATAGCTATTTATTTATATCAATGGTTGATAGATCTGTCCTGAATAAAAAAAATATAGCCACTAACATCTTTAACGTTACTGTTTGCATTTTATAGTATGTGATTAAATCGAAAGAATACAAAAGATAGGAAAATAATATTCGGTAAAAGAAATAAATATTTCATATGTAATTCAACGCTGTTCTAATCTTCTTCGATGATTATTTCTATATCTTTATTTAATATTTCGTTTGTTTCCGTAAAAGTAGATTTAATTATAGATTGATAACTGAGTGTTTCTGCTGTAACCAGACATCTCCGTCTATAAATATGAATAGAATACGTCAAAATTGCTTAATTGTTTTATTCGCTTAACAATGAAAAATATAATACACAAAAATAATTAAAGTAATTAAATATATTCTGATGCTTACATGTTATTATGATCATCCCGCGGTTTTCTCACTGGATTCCAAGCAGTTACAGGTTTTTCATTCATTAGCATCAGGCCATGAATGCAGTATGATAGAGTAATTTTACTCAAGTTACGATCCTATTGTAACGAAATATATTAATAATCATTTACATCAATAAAAATGCTATTTTAATCAAACTTACACGCCATTCAGAATTTAGAACATCAGCCAGACTCAATATATCAGATACTGCGGCTGCCTCCTCTAGAGTTCTTATAGTATTCAAATAATTTTCTTGAAGAAATTTTACGAATACTATTGATTGCGATTCGAAGAATGACGCTATTTCCTCGGGGTCGTGTACAAATTTCCAGGAGTCGCCGTGTGGTTCTCCTAGAATTGAATTGCAATCGTCGATTAATTCGTGAAATTTCATCAATTCTGAAATAAATAAATTGGAATAAATGAATTGAAAATTCAATTACTTTTCGGATTAATAACCCTTCCGATGCCGTGCAGCAGACCCAAGGTTTCCTCTCGTAGCCCACATTCGCTTTTCAGATGTCGATCGGGCACTAATAATCATAAGTACTATCATAATGCAGGCTCATACTTATCGAGTTAATCGTTAATGTATATACCTCTGAGAGAAACGAAAATTAGATTTAGAACAGCGCTGCGTACATCGCCAATGCTGTTGGACAGTATCTCATCGATGTGTTGCTGAGTGATGTGCAACATGTCACCAGCGATGGAGTTCAATGTACTGGATACTCGTTTCAATACGTTTTTCATCGCGGTAGGTGTGACCGCATTTATGCTGTACCAAATAAATTATGTTTAAAATCGAGAATCAACGTATAATCTTGCGTCAAGAATAACCATTGACTCACTTGATGAGATCGATACCAAATTTCTCTCTCACATCGAGTGGAAACAAAGTGTGCATCAATCTCGAATTCCCAGTCTCTGTACAAACAAATATCACAGGTTCTCTTCCTATCTGGAAATATTTTCTAAAGAGGGATATATATAAAGGAAAACATCACAATACTTTGAATAAAGTCTAAGAACTTCGCTACAACACAATAAAACGTTACTCACTCCAAGAGTGGAAAGAAGCTTTTATCATCTTCTTGGTAAATATTTGGTAGATCCTTCACAAGAAGCAATTGTTTGAGACAATCACCCAATACTGTACGGTAACGCGTTGCGCGAATTAAGTGATCTTCAAATCTATCCCCTTGTCGCATTATTCGTCCTGAAAAACAAAAGTCAGAAACAGAATTGTATATAGCATACAAATGCTTTGAACTTATAATTCGATAACTGCATACTATTTTCATCTTCAGTTGGATCGATCGGTGTAATCCATTCAATGACATTAAAATCATTTTCCTTAGCGAGTAATTTTATGGCTGCGGTTTTGCCACAACCGGCAGGTCCGAAAAGAATCAACATGGATGGTTGCCTCTTTGATGCCTTGCATTGAAGCCAATTAGAAATCTCATTTTGTTTCTGTTTACTAACGGCCAATTCGGAAGGCTTCTGTGGTTCGCAAGCTGCAAGCAACTTCGACAAGCTGGTCTCATGTTTCCTTCGCTTGAAATTATTCTGCGTGAATGATTCATCAAACAGAGTCTTATCTAGCTCTACTGTATTACTACGTTTTGCTAAAGACTCGTTTATAGGTTCGCAGTCAAACGACGGAATACACCAAATGTTACTTCTCTGCGAAAAAAAAGAACGCATGAATCACTTTTAAACAAGCAATAAAAATAAAAGGATATTTTTTCACATTTTAAACACATAGTAAAATGTAATTAAAATGAATAACATTTGAATTTAGGTTAGGTATAGAAAGATTTGATTTTATTCAAATAATAACGTAGATTCTAAAAGATTCATCGAATTTTTGATACTGCTTTGATACTTACCTTTGATACCTTTGATACCTTTGATTCAATCATGCTCTTTCTTACATGAGTTTATGTTTTAATCATATTTTTATACTCTACGTTCTCTCCGTTTTCTCTAACGAGATTTAAGATGATTGTTTTGAGTCGGTTCGGCTCTCATCTTCTTCCCTCTTGAATATTTTTGCTGGTATCAGGAACAGTATTTCTATCGTCTGTACAATTTTTTTTTCAATACGCATAATTGAAAAATTTTAAATTAATTAATTTCTTTAATTTTTCTATTTTAATTTCAAGACAAATATTTTTGTAATAATTTCTTCATCTCTTGTAGCTTATAATTTCTAACTTTTTTTTTTTCTTGACAAAAACTTTGCATATATCCTCTTCTTACAACATACATAAAAACATACATAAAAACGACTTTGATCAAAATTCGATTATTTAATTAATGATTAATCCAAGATAGAATTATTTACTGCCAAATTTTAATTAAAAATATTTTTATATCTGAATATTAAATTATTTAAATTATTTCAAGTTTAGTTTTAAAAGTGTTTAAAGATAACTAACTATCTATTTATTATTTCCAACTATTTATTTCCCTCATTGAATAAGTTGCGATCGAAAATTTCAAAAACAGAAAATATAAAAAATTATAATATAATGATTGTGTTACTTATATTCAATATAATGATTTGATTATCGGTAAAAGATTAACAAATATATATTTAACAAAAATTTATATTATTAATAATAATGCTTTAATTCTTTTATATTTGTACATTTATTTAATATTCTAAGAGAATGTACTTTATAAATAGTTTCTATACAGTACATAAAAATATATATACTGTTACACATATTTAAAAATAACAATAATTAAAATAGAAATAAAGTTTCCTGTTGAATAAATATATATGTAATACAGCAAGAACATTCTGTCGATTTTTATAAATATTATACCTGCCACTACAGATATAAATATGGTACACAGATGTAAATATACTTATTTTTTGAAAATGTAATGTTGAAGATATAAGACGAATTTACTTCTCGATAAAAACAAAATATAAAACATATTGATCATACAAGAGACACAATTGTCATCTCTACATCGAGGGAACAATGTACAAAATATACAGTTGTTAGGATTATACAGTTGTCAGAGATTTTTTTCTTTTAAATAATAATTATATCAAAATTAAAATCAAGATCTTTGGGATGTTTTTTTGAGGACGGTAGAGAGAAACATGGTATAAAGAAGAAACACAGATATCGGTTTTTTTGGTAATTTTATTTTATGTATTCACAAACGTTACAACTGTCGACTATGCGCCCACATTCGTAAGCCATCCTACACAACACGTCGTTACATCGTCGTTACATCGTACAGTATGTTATCACTTGTCCCCGAGACCCGTTAAGGCCCTTGAGTTGCTGATTACGAATTATAATCTTTTTTTCCTCGAATTCCTAAGCCGGTATTCGTTTGCAATTTATTAATTTTTGTATATAAGCGTACGTGTATATCTATACATGTTTTTTCTTTTTTCTTTATTTACAGAGTCGATGCACGATGCGTTTATTACCCTTACAAGGTCCACGCAGAGAGACTGACTGGTCGGGCATCGATCATTCTCGTCTCGAGGCCAATCTCTACCAATCTCGAGCGGCTCCATGTCTCGGGATTTAAAAAAATATGTGGCATTATCTTCAACGAAAGGCTTGGACTTGGTAGTTTATTATCCTTATTCGTCGATCTCGCTCTTCGCTTCTCGAAGACCGATCATACGCTACGAGGGGGGGTTTTCTCTCCCTAGCGATTTCTAACGCTATTCCTACTTAAATTCGCGGCGCTGTTATTTCTCTTTCATTTTTTGTTTTTGTTTTTTTTTCTTCTTTATTGTGCATCATCTGGAAATGCATGAGTAATGCAGTTTTTGTAACAGTCCGGAAGTAAGTTCCTTTCAAAGGCACTATTGTACACGAACAGAAATCGGCGGCCCGAAAAAATAGGCTCTTTCGAAGCAGCCTGCCCAGCACCTGTCGCGAGTAGTCGGTGGTATCCGCTGGTATCCGCTGGTATCCGCGAAGCGCTCTAGATGAGACTGGATGAGATCTTCGAACGTCGCTGACGGGGGGATCTGATCATCCCGTCAATCGATCGATTGATCGGCCAATTTTCATTGACAATCAGAATTTAGTGTCATTGTAGAATTTAGTCTCACCGAGCGCTTCGCTTTACTTTACAAAAGAGAACTCTGTCGCGAGTCGATGCATCCGCATGTTGATTGAGTAATGCAGTCCGCGAAGTGCTCTAGATACAACCAATCGAGATCTTCGAACGTTTTCAACAGATTGCTGATCTTGCCGATCGATCGATTGATTGGCCGAATCTCACTGGCGACGATCATAGTCGAAAATTTGACTCTTGTTGTTAAATCAAATGATCGTTCAATTTTTATATAAAAGATACCTGCGTCTCGCTAATGATCAATTCAAGCGACTAGATACAAGCGACTTTATATTTCGCACAAACGCAACACGATCTCACGTTGATTTGACAATAATTGCGCGATTCATGATTGCATACGACGAGTAATATTACTCGTGCGAATGAATGATACGGGTTAATCTCACACCCGATAATCATAATTAGCTAGCGAAATGGACAGCGAAATAAAATATATAATATATGATAATAATGATAATATATTATAAAATATATATATATATATATATATATTATTATGCATATTTATAAGTAAATTATCTCTTGAGATCGGATCGCGATTGACGATTGATCGATGTCGTGGGCAAACGTGCCGATTCGTTTGTTAATTAAAATTTCGCACTCATCTTTCTACCGCCAAGGATGCTTTGTAATGAAATCATATATTTCTGTGCTCGTTTAAGGAGGGATCATCTCACTAACAAAATCTATTCTTTTCAAATCAATATTTTAATTTTTTTCGTTTGCTAACATGTTATCGATAAAGACAAAAGATATCAAGATATGTAAAAATGGCACTATTACAAAATGGTAATTATAGACATAATTTTATTTATAAAGCTATATATATTAGTCGAGAAGTCTTAATAATTTTGCTTGACATAATGGTCATTCGAATTATTGAAAGATTGCATGTAATGATGCAAAGAGAGGCAAATGAAAGAAAAAAAAACAAATACAAAATTAAAATAATAAATCTAAATTATTTATAGAGTGAATTGACGATTCGAAAATATATAATAGTCCCTCCTCAAAACATGTCACAACTTCATATTGATACGTAATTATCTTTTGCGAATCTAATAGCGTATAATTTACTTTATACGAAATATTTTTTATATATTTTCTTAGAGTTAAAGTCAGCAACCAATAACCCTACCCGCTTTTTAGCATAAGCCTTAAATGTAAAATTAAGATTTATTAGCAGTATATAAGTAACAATGTAAGAATTTATTTCACACCGCGCGCGCGCGCGCGCACACACACACACACACACACACACACGCGCGCGCGCGCGCGCGCGCCACGCACACATATATGTATGTATGTATGTATGGACGTACATGTATATATATGTATATATCTTTTTTTTACATTTGGGGATCGATCTCGTGGCGTAGCTCTCACTTTGGATAAAAACTATGTACATTATGTTACATTTTCATCTCTTCCTGCAAAAAGAAAACAAAACCAAGAAAACAGTGTTTATACGACAGCGTGACGTATGTTAGAGATATGAAACGAGCGTGATTATGCAGCGAGAGAAAAATCAGCGCCGAGTACTTCCTTCATCACGATTTATTTCTTTTTTTTTTCCAAGCGTCAAACGTTTCATTTCAGAGCGCATTTCCACATTCTCCTCTCATATTTAACGATTGCTAAAGTACGCCACGAGAAACAAGCCTGTATAACATATAAGCCGATCTTCCGATAGATTCTTATCATATTTATCAAACTAAGATCTTATCTCGTAGGCTACATAGAGACTTGTATAGCTTATACTATAGTCACTGGCTTAAAAATCTATAGGTACATCTAAATCGCTAAAAATCGAACTACGAAAGTATGTACAATAATCAATGAGCACGTAGTTACGACTATCTTTCTACTATTTTTCTCTCGCCTGACATTTTTTTCTCTCGACTGTACAGTTATTTCTATATTCGCGACTGATAAATCGATAGGAAATTATTTGTGCTAAGAATTGCTCTCCTGAATCTGTTCGATTATTACTTTTTTTCTTTCTCCTTCAGAGACAGTCGCTTCCTTTCATCCTCATGTTATTAGTTTATTTTCGATTGCTCTTGGTAACTTAAAAAATATTAATATGCGTAGTTTCGTTGTACATCCGAAATAGACTAATATAAATGAGGAGGGAAGAGAAAGAGAAAGAGAATAATAAGAGAAAGATGTTGCGTTGGTAATTGATTTTTGTTTGCAATTTGATTGCAATGCGATTGTGTTTCACTTGCTTCCGTAGACGAATTTCTGTTCTCGAACAGACGCAGAGACTTTCGATTGTCGCTTCGTTTAAAAATCATTGTCAGCTTCTATTATTACTGTGCCTTTCACGGAAGCAATATATCGACAAATGTGTCCTTCTTTTTAAATTAAAAGTGAACTTTATCCTCTCAAGAATGAGTGCATTTTATTCTCCACTGTCTATAGTTCTATAAATTTCCTATTCTTAATTCCTATTATTCATTCATAAAAATCAAGAGTTAACAAAGGACACTGCAGCGTTTAAATCTTTACCAACATTTAAGTATCACCCATGAGATTTTCGGAATTCAATTCCGACTTCATTTCAAATTTCATTTTGAATTACGTCCAGTCCGATATCGAAGGAAAATTTAGTTGGAGCAACTATGGGAAGACAAAAGAAGACTGGGAAAACCCAAAGAAATACATAGAAATGCATTATATTTATCGAATTACTCGCATTACTTTTATCGTCCATCTATCGCAATTAACAAGTTACGCGAAATCCATTTCTACATTTTCTTCTCGATCTCGAGAACGGCAACTCTCAGATAGTTTTGAAAGACATTTTGTCGTGATCTGCCCGGACGAGTAAAATATTCAATATCGCGATCGTAAGCATGTCAACATATACACGGACATGTAACATTACGACACATTACTACTCGTCATTACTACTTAAAATGTACAGATTTTCATAAAATAAGTATCCGTCAACGAAAAAAATCAAAGCTATCTGCGACGACGTATGCATAACGGCGATTACAGCCGTTTTGTATTCAATTTCTTTTTATTCTCTCTTTCTAGTATATTCTTCTAATCAACGCTACTACTGTTCACTTTTGTTAATGCTAATCATTAATATGATAATTGTATTACCCATCCTGATTTTCTTTTCTTTATATGAATTCTATAAACAATATGTGATAGTATGTCGGCTCGATGCATGACTAGTATGTCGAGGATGACAATTAGAATATGAAGATAAGAGTTTTCTCTGTGTTTGCAGATATTATCATCATCTCATCATCCTTTGAATATACATTTTACAAACAGCATGATCAACTGTCGATTTGCTTACAGCAAAAAACAACCAATGATATAATTTATATATTCGTTTGATTTGTTGATTGATAAAACGGCCAATGCGTAAGTTCTTTTATTTACAGGTCAGCGAGTTCATCATTCCTTTCATGATGCAAAATAAATACTCGTAACGCTTTCATTTCATCGAAGTGTATAATATTTAATTTAATATATAATTATTGCATAGCGTATGTATAAATATATGTATATGCAAGCTTAATTGATTGCATTTAGATATCTCGCATTAATATCTCATAAAGATTTTTAAAAGTGCAATTTTAAAATACGACTGTGAATTAAAGAATTCAAAACAAGAAATTTATGGGAGTTGATTTGAAAAGCGTTAATTTTTTTGTTCAATCTGTGCCATGAATGCGTTTAATCTATGTTTTATAAAAAAACAAATAGGCAAAGTTAATCATATCATTATTACTATGATTATTATTATTATTATTATTATTATTATTATCATCATTATATGGAAGTACGCTACAATTACGTTAAACCTTAAGTAAAAGAGAAGTTCAGAATGTAACACCTAATTTTTATTACTTCATAACTTTCTAGAATAAATCATTATTATTGATATATTTCAATGATATAAAAAAGTAAGTAATCACTTTCTAAAAAATTTCTGTTAAGAAAATAAAGAATCAAGAAGGATATTTTTCTAAAGTATCAGGTATACCCAAAAGAAATTGGCATTTAAATAATTCAGAAAACGGCATGAATTCAATGATAGTTACATAGATACATATCTACACAACTAAATATTTACGAGTTATATAATTAGTCTCAGGATTTACGATATAGTAGTCAAATATAATATTTAGGCGATTATTCATTTTATATTTTTAGTCTTTATGTCGTCTTCTGAATAAAAAGATAGCACTTTATCTTTTTTTTTCTTTTTTTGTACATCAATGCTCGCTCGGGCAAGCAGTCTATTTTATATACAGCATTTTCAAACAGTATGACATTGTTCATCTGATCATTACTATATATGCATGAAATAAAAGCGTGACTACAAAAACTAGGATATATACATTTCCATTGTGTTAGATTGTTTGATATACACACATACATTCTCATTATCTTTCCTTTATATCTTTAGCTGTCTCATAATGTAGTTAAACATACATGCAAACAACATGAGAAGCAAGTGAAAATATTTTTCGCGTCACCACGCCGAAGGGGGGAAGAAGTATCGATAGATACAACCTTAAGGACTAAATCACGACTCTAAATCTATCAAAAATTTACCTTTTGCATATGGATTTGCATATTCCGTAGCTACAATCTTCAAAATCACACGAATAGAACTGAAAGTGCAACTTTCATTCTTTGTTTACGATTACAACACTGCTTCTTAATAACGCACTATTGAAAATATTATCGCCATTGCATTTCGAGGGCGATCCAATAGTTTCTGTCACTTTTACAAGATTATTCAAAGACTCTTTTCTCGTCGTCGACTACGATTTCATTTTTGGGAGATAGTCGAGCTTTCTGCCTTAATCGTAACGGATTTGCTCGTTTCGGATTTGGAACTAGTTTGAGTTCGTTCTCTGGCAGTGACTTGTGATTTGCTCGCCTCGGAAGGCTTCGTGGAGAAACCAGAATTTTGTTTATTTCGAGATTGTTGCTTACTGAGATCTCGCTGGCTGCTTGATGACGATCCGGAATCATTCCGTCGTCGATAATGATACATCTTAGAGCCGAAAGAGCCGGCCCTAATACGAAACTGCGATAAATGCGAATCTTGCATGTAGATATCAGATTTTGTATCATTTGGCAGTGTATTGTATTCATCCGAGAGCAGGCAATCACTGCTTCTCAGTGAGTCCTCTCTAGCGCTTTCAGAAACGCTTCTATTACGTATTCTTGCAGCTTGAAGCATCTCGTGTATTTGAGGCTGTAAAAAAATACAAATATTAGGGAGAGATTATAACTTATTACAAGATTAACTTTATTATAAAGACAGTTAATTTTAATGCAAATAGCAAATAAAAATCTGTGTATTTAAAATAATACTCACTTCGACTACTCTGAAATCTTCAATACTCTTGAATTTTGATAGGTACTCTTGCAATGTATGGTCTACATGAAGTTGATCAGAATTCTTATAATATTTCAAAAATGCCCAAAATTTTTCCAAACCATACAACTGTCCTATTGGTCAAAGCAAATCAAATTATTAATATACTATTGCAACAAAATACATGTAAGATATCAAATTATCATTTTTAATTATCGTGTTACTACTAATCGAAATCCAGTTCTAGGAAAATATCCTTCTGGCGTCTTAGTAAAACACTAAATTTACTTTTGCACAAATCTACCGTTCGGCTATACATGGCAATATAGCTGAACAACCTATTCTGTGCTGACTTACTTTCTCGTGACAAAGAAGAGTGTATATGAAATTTTAACTTACCGCTTTCGTAATCTTGTATCGTTTCTACTTCAAAATCTTTATATAATGTATGTCTAAACTTCTTTTCTAAGCCATAACTGTAAAATCTGAAAAGGCACTCTAATCCGTATCGATATCCTTCGCAGGCATCTTCTTTGGCTACAGTTCTGAATTCTTCATACATAGTACGATTGAAGTTTTCTCGCAAGAAAAATGACCAGAAACGGAAAAGAGTGTTCATCTCTTGCGATTGTCCAATACCTAATCGCTTGCGTTCTAAAAAAAATAATAAATACGATACAAGAAAATTCTTGACTTGATATAACCATGTGACTTAGTTAATATAACAAATTCAGATCAAAATATTTCCGCACTGTTTTTCTCAGTCGGGAAAAGAAGACAAAAAAATTCATCATCTTATAATGTTTGAATTAATAATTTAAGAAAATATCATTATATTATTACTACCTTTCAGGCAGCGTGAATGATATTTATGATATGCTTGTTGAGTAAAGCCATTATCCTTCAACAAAGCGTGACTCGGATGTTCACAGATACTAGGAACACTTCCATAACTGTTAGCAAGATAGCTTTCATTAGGACTTGTGCCCGCGCTACTCCTGAAACAATTAAAAAGAAATTTAGAGTATATGTAAAATACAATAAAATATTCATTTATCCCTTAGTTATTGTTCAGATTAAAATATTCTACAAGATAATTTCTTCAGTCGGGAAAAGAAGACATATAGACAAATTATTCATCATGTTTTTCTCGTTTTTATCTATAATATAAATTCATAAAAATAAAAATAAACATAATTATGTGATTACAATAGCGATTGTTATATTGTAATATTGGCAAATTCTGTATTTTCTTGTGCAAGTTATTTCCATGAAAAATCAATTATTTCTAAATTAAAAATCATTATTTCTGTGTAACTTTACGATTTTTTTTATATATTAACAACAGTCTTTCTTTATTACAGAAAGTCGTAAAGTATATAAATATTTTGAGCTGTAATATTTATAGCAAAAACGAATATTACATACCCGGTGGAATATGCTCGAGGATGATGCTCTCGAACGTCCATAATCCAACCAACATGATGCTCTACTGGAGGATTGTTGCTATGACGGGTCTTCCTTTTCCGTGGTGTTCTCGGATCAACGGATGGACCATCTTTCACAACAGCAAAAAAACGAGGGGCAGTATTCTTTCGCCCTTCTCTTGCACATAATTTGTCACTCCAACGATTCTTTTCCAGCTTATGATCTTTCTTCTCTGAACTTGTGCTTGGAAACTTTAAATAGATTAAATAGATACATGTAATTTCATACGTACTTTTTTATAGGCAATTTCTTATTTCAAATAAATAAAATATAAAATAAATATTAAGTAAAAATAAATTTGAAATACCTGTGATGATGGAGCGGACTGTGTAACTTCTAAATCTTCTAGAGCAGAAGGTGGCGGCGGCGGAACTTCTGGATTCGCTTTTCTTGGAGCTTTTGGTGCCATTTTTTCGAAATCCTCTTGACTAACTATATTAACCGTTTTGTAACTTCCAATTGACGAAGAGGAACCATACTGTATGTTAACATCAACTTATTAATATCTATTTTATTTTCAAGTTTAAGAAAATAAGATTATAATCTTACTCTTTGACAATTTTGCCTTCGTAATTCTTCTTCGTAATAATTTAATCCATCGTTGATAAGCTGTTCCAATTCTTGAGACATTTTTACTCTTGTAATCCAATCTCCTGTTCTATCATGACCTTCATGTTTTGGAATTCTAGATGATGCAGGACTGATTTGAGTAAAGATTAATATTTTATTAATATCCCTATCCGATAATTCGTTATCTTCATCATCTTCGGACCTGAAATAATCAAGAATTACATATTTTATATTTTACAAAGATTGATTCTTTCAGAGAATCAACTTGGGTCTTCTAGACTTGGGTCTTCTAAGCTATATTGAGAAAAAAAATAAGTCATATGAACTTGCGGGTCGTGTTCTCAATCTTTATTGAGAAATTATCGTTCCTTGAATCCTAAAATAGAAATGATTTTGATTTTGAGAATTGAAGAATAATAAACAAGAAAAATCATATAAAAAAAAATTTATTGACAAAAAATTGTTATAATTTTTAAAGAACAATATAAAAAAATTCTTTTTTCCACCTGTGTGCATAAATTTTGTGTGTAGTGTAGCACGGTTAACCTTGGTGAGTATTACAACGTTGACAATGAGCCAGTAGTCGGTCTTCTTCTTAGTGTATGTTCCTTGCACTTCCGCTCAGTAGACAAGATTTCATATTCACCCTTTTCCCTACCCAATTTTGTTTCCAATAAAGTGTAATGTAGTGAATTGTGAGTATTTTGTATTTTTACAAATAATTTAGAAACCGTTAATAACCCATGTTCATATGACATTTTTTGCTCATAATAATATACAATAACAGGACTGATTCTTTAAGTATAGGTCAAAATTCGTACAATGCGCCATTATAGTAATAATACAAAGAATTAAAGTATTTATTTAAATATAACAAATACAAGATATTAAAAAAATATATAAATCCACTTATTAAAGAATCAAGTCAAATTTCCTAATTGTTTTCCTCTTGGTACACAATAAAAAAAATTATTTCGAATTAAAAATTATGTTCTTACAAACTTCTATATCATATAAATTGTAGATCATATGCAAATATTCATTATAAATCGTAAATTATTAGTACAAATATTTATCTAAACATATTCTACAAAGTCTCAATAGTTTTTTATAATTTCTGTTTGTATGTTAAAATTTCGGTAACCAAATTAGATTAAAAAGTTATGATAAAATGCAAAATTTTAGTTAAAAACAAATTTCAGATTGTTATCAGTAACTTCAAAATTATAAAAAAGATTTTGTAGAATCTATTTTTATGTAATTTTGATATCACTATTTTAATTTTATACAATGAGCAAATATTTTGCTCTGAGTTTAAATTAAATCAAATTATAAATATAAAACTTCGTGGGTCTATTGACAGGTATTGACAGGTATTGACTGAACAAACCATTCCGAAAAGGCATTGTGTCGACCAGTTGGTGGCGGTGAGTCAAGTTCCTCGTCAAATTGAAAATCAAGTTCTTCTCGTACCGCGTTTCTGGTAACTTCACATTTTTCTTTATCTTCTGATTTGTCCTTGTGTGATTGTTTAACCCTTCTTTTCACCTGTAAATAATACATTTTTCAGCTTCTTATTATCCTTATCCTTTCTTATAGCTTAAACATAGCTTAAATATTTAATATGACGAAGGAAAAGGACATTTGCCTTTTGCCATGTATTGTCACTTGATGAGTCTGATTCTCCGTTCACTCGTTCTTCTGATAAGCTGTCCGAAGTAAGAGAATCTGCTGTGAATGGTAAATTATTGTCTTCTTTTATTTCCACAGGAGAATTATTTGGAGGAACAAGAGACATGTCTGCAATCACCACTGTTTCTTTTATCTCTTCAGATTGAGATTTGCTCTTTGTTACATTGTTTTCGTCTATAGCAGTAAATCCATTAGTTTTATCCGTTAATTGTATCGGTATAAATTCTGGCACGTCAGGATTTAGAATCTCATTTAACGATGAAGAATTTATTTCTGATTCGCTATGTCTTCTTGCTGTTAAAACGGAATGATAAGTTTCAAAAACACGAGGAATTGGAGGGACAGGCATTGTGGGCAAAGGTTTCGCGACAGGACAAAAAGTTTCAGAGGTAGGAATTACTTCATTTAGAGTTAGGATAGACTGTTGTGGAAAATTTGAAAAGGCAACATTACTGGTTATGTCCGAGATAGGCCATTTTAACGGCTCGAGCCTTGTCCTAATCTGAAAAATAAAAATTTACATTTATTAGGAAAATTTGCCGTTATATGCACTTGCACAAATAACACATACACGAAATTTGAATTGTAAATACATGTAAAGAGGCCTACTATCAAACCCCATTCATTGAACTTAAAATAAGTTCTAATGGTGTCAGCGAATCCTCTTCTGTTTGCTCTAGCACAAATTTTGTATCTAACACATATGTATGTAACTTGTTAGATTTCTTTTGAAAATGTGTGCCACATATATAATTTTGTCAGATAATATTTGTCAGCGTTGCTTTATTAAAATATGTTTATAATACCTTAAATCCATCCTCCAATTCTAACAGCTCTAATCTATCAGACTCCAAAACTGCATCTATCACTAAATCTATGTCCATTGTTAAATTTTGTACACGTTGAAAAGATGCGATCAAAGTGAGAGGCAAAAATCCTTGAGCATTCATTTTACGACGTAAGAAGAAGTCCTTCACAAGATTTTCTTCAGAAAAGTAATACTCTCTGTGCAAAAAAAAAAAATAAATAAATAAATAAATAAGATCGTTACTAATTATATCCGTACAAAAAGGCGTAAAGATAAAACTTACATTTGTTTCCGTATAAATTCTTTCAACACAGTAGAATCTAGATAATTCGCGTTATTAAAATAGCATGTTCCCATATAAGGTATCATATAACCAGAATCCGTATGCTCATATTTATGGGTCTGCAAAAAAAGAGGAACATTATATTTATTAAAAAAAAAAAAAAAAAATTAGCGGATAATACAAAATATATAAACTTTGAAAATTCAGTTCTACTATCATATATTATCCATCAGAATATGATCAGAAAGATTCCCACTTGAAAGTAACATCATTATCGAAGATATCGCTACTCGTGATAACAATTTCAGCTGCAGATATCAGTAGAAAATTACCTGTACACAATCCGTCATATAATTTGCGTAATCGTGATCGTATCGATGTCTATAACCACCGCGGCCGCGGCCGCCTCGTCCTCTACCCCTGTAACTTCTTCCACCGCGTCCTCGTGAATTATATCCCGTTGATCTATCGTAATCCCTTTCACGCCAATGTTCGCCGTCATTCGCTATTTATCATAATTATCATTATTATATTCGATCGTTTTTATTATCGCGATTATATGCACATCGCATTTTCAACGCACGCGATATTACATTACATATATAAATAATATTACCTTCACCATTTCTTTCTCTATGATTTTGAAATCTCGGTGATCGCGTAGTCCCACGATTTTGTGCCAGGTCAATCTCAAGCGGAACCCATTTTTGCTTATTTGCTGTAATTAAAATTGGGATAGCGTATAGAATGGCGTATAGAAAACAACAAATTTCTCATTTATACAAAAATAGAAGCACACTCATTCAAAAATTACAAAAAATGTATCATTATCTGATTGTCTCATCACAATAAATTAAAACAAAACTGATTTCCTCACCTTTCTTTTTCTTTTCATTGTTATCTGTGTGTTCATCGCTATCATCTTGGCAGTGGTTCTGTTCCTTGTTCTCCTTGCCTTTATTTTCGCTAGTGCTACACGCCTTAGAAGTACTTGGTTCACCATTGAGCGCACCATTTTGCTTCGGTACAGATACGGTTGCTTTTCTCTATATTAAAAGACAAACATTGTGTATCTTAATAAAATATAATACGAAACTAAAGATGAGCACGATAACAGGGAATTAGAAACAAAGGACTGTTCAAAGAACTATTCAAAGAAATATGAATACATAAACATGTACAAATATTGAACATCTCTCAGATACGATAGAAACTTCTACCTGAGATGACATGATATTCGACCTTTCTCTAGCAAAATTTCTACACTCACAAATGCATAAATAAATCATCTGCAAGCTCTAGATTTTGCATAATTCACTGTATAATAATGTTATAGGAAATACTGTTAATTTGTTTTTAACATAGCTCTCTCTCTCTCTC